ATAGCTTAATTGAAAACAACGCCGCCATGAAAGGCTTACTGATTACGAGCGTCACGTTCCATTAACTATATTTTACTGACGTGACAGTAAAATTGCATTAACACAATGTAAACTTACTTGCTGTTCTTTGCTGGGCCAGTTATTGAGCGACAAAGAAAAATATTGTGGAGGAGGAACTGCGTAGTCAAACATCCACTCACAGAAGTGATTTGCTAAGTCAAAAGCTCTGAAACAAAGAAGACCATGGCATGGCGACTCGTTAATCAACAAATTCACAAAAGAGCTGTGATATATGTACATATAAATACTTTAATGAACTAGCTTGTTCAGTCTGGGAAGTATGAGTTTCGTTATTTTTTCAAAAAATCCCCCAAACAAATGCCAGGCTAGTTCAAGAGCACAAAATTTGCATGTATGTATGTACAATATTACCTACCTGTAATTGTAGGCACTAAATTCAAAGTCTATTAGCTTTAAGTCAAATTCTTCCTCATTGCTTTCTTGCACTTCTTTTGAGACTTTCAAAATGTTGCCTGAAAATAAGAGGTGAACCACGATTACTACCAGCTCAAACTGTTCACATTCTATTTTATTATAAAATGTAAACAAATTGTCCCATATTTAGAGAGAAAAGAGTATAAAGCAGGTCTCCTTCTAGGCCTGAATCTCAGCCACTGCTCAAGAAATTAAAGGAGCACAAGCTCTCAGCGACCAGAAGCACAGCATGAACTTAATTATGAATTTAAGCCACAGGTATACTTTGTCCCTCATGTGTCCAGCCATCTCCTCTCATGCAGGAACATAGACCAGACTTGACAGAGTGGTGGAAATTTCAAGAGCCTTAAGTCTCTTGTACTCTACAAATCCCTGCCCTGACCAGTCTCAAGTGCTTATTTAATGTTTGTCATCATACCTTGTTGAAGATCATTATGGCAAAAGGTAACTGGCCCTGGTGAAGTGGCAGTTTCTAAATAGTTTCTGGGATAAATGAAATTTAAAAAAATCAAGAATCAAACACACCCTCAAAAATTTTCATTAACTTACATTAAGAGTTTCAAGTCCCATTTAAGTAGTTCCTCAATATATGTTTTATTCAGCAATGGAGAATATTATTGTTTCTTTTTTATTGAAATGTTGATCACTTCAATGCAGCAATAATTTCCATACGTGTAGACTTAACATAATTGATGATGAAGCTAAACCATGAACTGGTTGTTAATAAGTTAAAGAATGTTAAGTCCTATGTTGCAATAAATTAAGTCTGCATTCAAATCACATTAATTCATAAAGTGACTGTTACCTTAAAAATTGGTATTCTTTTCTTAAATCCATACTTTTGAGTTTGGCCAATTTAACAGCTTTATCCTGTTCATTGAATTGTGTTTGTAAAGCATCCTCGCACCATCTGTCATTTGAAACAAATTCATCATAAAACAGCTATCTAATATCATGTACAAGACAAACAATTAATTGCAATTAAATAAAAATCTTGTGACAATTTAAATAATAATTAATTCAAGTTATATCAGATGATATCCTTTGTTAATTCTAATATAGAGGAAGAACAATATCGTAGCAACCTACAGTCCCTACCCAGATATAGTATTCCACATAAAATCAGGCTCCTTGGAAAGAGGAAGCTTCAGCCCATGATACACTGCCATTTTTTTAGCAATCCTAACTGAGATCTCAGGGTATGCTAGCTCCTTTCTAGTCAGACTCCGTGCCTACAAAAAAAGTCAGAATTTCTCCTCTTAGAAAAAACAAATTTGCAACAAGCTACAATTGCAATAAATAATTTAAAGGTTTCAGAGATCATCAAAATTATGTAAGTTACTTGGGCAGTTGCAAAAATAAAGCCTGCAAAAATTTAGGCTGGGACATGAACCCACGACCTCTACGATACCAGTGCACTGGTTATGGGTTCAAATCCCATTCAACTTTGAAGTCTGATTTTTTTTTCCAGTTTTTAGTGCAGAGTGCACTATTGGAATGGTTTGGGGATTGACGTCCTCTAAAGAGCTATGGCAATAAGGCACTATGGCACTATGGCACCATGGCACCATGGCACCATGGCACCATGGCACCATGGCACCATGGCACCATGGCACCATGGCACTATGGCAATAAGGTGTAAACTTCAATGATTGTATGATTAATTTATTTCAATTAATTAATTAGCCTTGCAGGAAAGGTGGTGGGGTGGGATGGGGTAGGTACTTGTGAGCACTAGGTAAAAGGTGTTGTACCTACATTACTTCTTTGATAACCTCACAAAGCTAATATATATATTTGTTTCAGAAAACCCCTTGCTCTCCTTGTTAACTTTGCAACTTCCTATAAAGTTTGTACATATTACTGCAATGATCTCTCATGTCTTGAAATCTTTCTCCCACAGTTGAAATGCATGTTTCGTATAATATTCTTTCAAGCTAAGTAATCTGACCACATGCTCTCTAACCCTAACCCTAAGTGACTGTAAACTTACTGGAAGCAGTTCCTCCAATCGCCCCTCAGGAAATATTGCGAAAAGCTTTGGGCCAACATTCCACTCAGAAAGCAGAGCAAAGACAACAGAATCTGAAATCAAAGCTCCCACACTAGTGACAAGTTCATCATAGAGTGGTCCATAAATGCGTAGGACAACTTTCCTCTTCTCTGCATTTCCTATTTGATAATTATCTGGCAGACGGCAAATAAACAACTCATTGCTGAGACCACCACTAAAAGAAAATAAAACTGAAATTTAATAAAATGAAGTTTAGCCATAGAGAATAAATCCATATCACCATAAAAGACCGAATAACAATCTTTTCCATCTCACTTTTTAGCTTGGTCGAGACAGACTTGTACCCCATATATAGACCCAGCTCGTTCTGAATTTATTAATGTATGACATATTGTTTTAAAAGTCAGTGGAAGATATATAATGGATCCAATAGACCTTTCCCGTATTCCACTTCCATGCGTACAAAATATAGCACCAGAGCGAGATTGGGGCTGACATTTTCTTACATTTACTGTATTTTTGTCCACCCTGACCACGACTTGGAGCTATTGTTTGTTAAAATGCGGGAAAGGTCTATCTGCCTTATTGTGAGAGGCGTCGTTATTAACCAGCATGTTAGGAGAACAATCCAAAATCAGTTTATGGGCTGCTGTGTGACAGAACTTGAACTACAGTTTACACTTGAGAGAAGTGCAAAGAGAAGCACGTGTGAGATGCAGCTAAGTGTCTCTTTAAACTTTTTGAGTGTTCTTACATGTAGAAATTCTCAAGTCTTTCAATAACTCAACAATGCAAAAGGAGCAAGTTAACTATTTTCTTCCCAAAAGGTTCAGGATGTACATTATAAAGTTGATAAAGGGCATGTCTGAAGCAGCAGGTGTGCCTTACAGGGATCTGCAGTTGTATCACGTGCAGGTTTAACTCAAGATTTCACAGTTTTTGACAATAGTAAACTTTCAATTCTATTCACGCACAAGTTATATCAAAATACTTGTGCACACCATGTCTTGTGCACACCATCCTCTTTTTCATGCAAGTACAGGTTAGCTGTTTTCATTTATAATAATATTGTTCCCCAAGTAACATGTGTTATGATTGGTCAGTTCAAGCTTATCATAGTACCACAAAGTACATAAAATGCATGTGTTCCAACTAGATTAATACACATGGCCTAACATGGCTGGGTGGAAGAGCTTGAATACAGCCAAGGCAGCAGCACAAAACAGGTACTGTTGGATTAAGAGCCTTATGCACACATTGGCTTCACGAGAAAAGACGTGATGTTGAATGCATATGGCCTCCATGATAAGTTTCAGCATGGTTACTTTTTTGTACATTTAAAATGGAGATAGTGAACTTACTCCTCATGTAGAGGGTGCGCTGTAACAAAGGGGGAGTTGTGTTCCATGAGGCTTGACTGTGCCTCTGTATTTTCTATGCATTTCTGTAATGTTCTTACAAAGTCCCGCATTGCTTTTATAACTCAACAATGTGTGGTTCCAGAAAATATCCCTACCCACCCCAAGGAGGGTGTTTAGAAATTCCAAGGGGAGGGGGGCATCTCAAAAGCTAATTTTCTAAAGGAAAGGACATGTATCAACCAAAAGTGAATGATATACAGTATTTATTCACTTTTCCTATACCCAGGCTCCCATACTGAGAAACCTAATTACTAAAACAAAGAATGACCTAAAATGAGCTTGTTTTAGTCACTATGTCATGAGAAATCAATAACCCGAAACTGAATTAGAGCAATTTATTCGAGAGGCTTAATAAATTATTCATGTGCCTGTCTGCATCTCTAAACCATAGAACTTCATTATTTCTTCAACATCAAGCACAGGCAACCCAAGCTCTCTCTATGTGTGTTGTTTGCTCCTGGTATGGTTATTTTACCGATTTAACTTGATTTAAGCAACTTTTTTTAATTCCGGTTTTCCCTTCAAAATTGTTGGCTAGCAATTGTGTGGCTAGAGGATTGAAATGAAAGATCAACCTTTGCCCTTGAATTCTGCAGTGGATTTGTGGCTCTGGGTACATTTTAGCCTGGGATTTTTGACTTTGTTCGGCAGGCTGTCCCAACTGAGGTGTTTCGCCTTGTCCTCTCTTTACAAAAGGAATAGCAGAATTCAAAAAAGTCACTTAAATCAAGTTAAATAGGTAAAATAATGACCCCAGGACCAAACAACACATGTACGGAATAAGGTAAGCCATTTTTATTTAGAATTTTCACTTTTAACTACCTCCATGGATATCTTGTAGAAAATCCCATATAAACCCTTATAATTCGATGCCATATTGTGTTACTTGTGAGGTTCAAAGAGGGAGCTTGGACTGCCTGTGCATTAAGGATTAAAAGTTCACCGATCTGAACGTAGAGCATACAGTTCTATTCTGAAGATTTCATACAATACTGCTGTTGGAAAACACATAAAAAGTCACCACACGCATCTACGACCAAAATAAGATAGTGTTGACTACGTGTACGTAAAGGTCATCAAGGCCAACAAGTTTGGCGAAATTACAAGACAATGCCTCGTTTTAAGCCGACTTAAGGTAGAATTTTTGTTGGCAAACAGACGTAGAATCGCTTATATAGAACTAAAAATCCGAAAAACACTCAAAATATTAGCATATCTTACGGCATTTCAGCAAGTCTCAGCTGATAAGCTTGCATTGTTGTAAAAAATAGTAAGCTTACCTACCCTAAAACGTCAATGGAAAACTCCTCCAAAGAAACATTCCTCCAACTTCCTCCAAGGTACTGCTTGCACCACGTATGTGCCTTCTTTTTGAAATCGAAAGAAATTTCATTCGAAATGCTTGCCATGCGAAAAACAAAACGAAGGGTCTCTCGTGCCAAGAATACGGCTGACTGACTAACCACGCAACGAACTTTCCGCTGCGAGCATGTCACGTCACATTACCGTCCCCTCTCAGGGACAAATTGTCTGACTAGCCGGCCGAGGAAATTTGGTAATGAATGACGTCACCGAACGAACGGGCTGTACATACAGACACTGGAAAAGGGGGAGGAGACTCTCGAGGTGAGTGATCTTTTCTTGGCGGGATTTTTAAAGAAAATAGGTCCGCAATGCGTACTTGTGGTCTTATGCTTAGTTTTATTCAATTCGGCTGAATGTCAGTATCTGGGAGTTGAATTGCCACAAATGAGAAGGAAGACAAGTCGTTACAATTTTTAAGTGGGAAATGTATGGCAGAATACTGTTTACTTACTTTCTTTACCCTAATAGTAATTATTATTGATTTAGCTCGTAGTCCCAATGGGACAAAGCACAACAACAATATCTCAATTCAGCCCGATTTTGTGCATTGTCCCATGGAGTTTAACTCTCTGAGCTCGGCACAGTTTACACATGACAAGTTTAAGTGTACATGTAGTGTCAAGATGTTTTGCTGCTGTAATGACTAAGTCTAAAGCAGCATCAACAACTGAGTTCCAGCCGGGAGAGCCCCCTCCCATTGGGACAATTTTTGAAAAATAATAGACCAAGAGACCTTTCCCGCATTTCACTTCAGTGCGTACGAACAATAGTACCAGAGCGAGGTTGGGGTGGACATTTTCATACATTTGTTGTATTTTTGTCCACCCTTGCCTCGACATGGCGCCATCGTTTGTTGGAATGCGGGAAAGGTCTATTGCTGGTTTTCAGTGTCACGCAATTCAAAATAGATCAAAAT